TGATGAATCTGTTGTGATTTTAGAAGGTTAAAGCTATTATTCATTAGGATTCAGACACGGTTTCTGTCATGATAAATACCACTGCATTTAAAAATTCAATATATTTAATTTAAAACAAAAGAAAAAGAAACCCCTCCCTGTGTTTCAATCACTTATACTTGGTATCAGCCTTTTTTAACAGCAAGGCTATGTTTGCCCTTCAAGAGAGATATTTTACAATTGGGTTATCAACATGTTTTTCCAGACCAAAGGAACAGGAACTTAGGTTAATTTAATAGAAAAAATAAAATATGGAATAACATTGATTTTGGCCAGTATCAATTACAACAGAACTACCCTATTTTACAAATAACAACTGAACATTTTACACATGTACAGTATTTTTCCGTAAAAATGAATTTGGATTTAACAAGGTGTCAGTATTTTAAAAAGAAAACATATTAATTTCTTCTCTATAATAGTGTTAGAGGCATTTGTAAGTATTGAAACAAATTCTTTACAATCCATTACATAATTATATCTCAATTATGAATATATATATATTTATATATAATATATATATAATATTAACTTAAACTTTGAAAGCATTATGTTCTAGTTAATAATGTTATGTAAAGAAATGAGGCAGTAACAGACTAGTAGTTAAACTAGCACAAATAAAGTTGTTGTAACTTTGAATCCTTAGCAAAAAAGTTTAATGGGCAACAGAAGAACTTCACAGGTCCTTTCCTGTCATACAGAATTTGATGTCTGCTATAAAAATTCAGCTGCTCTCTGGTAAGAGGAGCATACTGTTTTTTCAGGTACTGGTACATTTGTTTGCAAAAGGACAGCCATTTGTATTTCAAAAAGATGAGTCTAGAATTCCTCATATTTTCTCCCATTTATATGTTTATCAATGTAATTTGTTTTCCCAATTATGTGCCACAGATAGTCCCACACAGATGATTTTGAACAGAAAGAATCTGTTTTACTGTGTTTCCCCCCAACCCCCAAAATCCCAGTATATTTGAAATGTAATAGGCTATTCTTCCTAACTGAATGGATGTCAAATTATAAGTTGACAGGAGCATAAAAAATACATTTAGTGAACAATTAGATTGACAAAAGTGTATTTAGTAAATACCGGGCCCAATTCCTTCACACTTAGATTGGAGTTAAACTAAAGCAACTCCAGCAGCTGCTAAGTGCAGTTCACTCCTTCTCAAGTTTCCACCATTGTTGGCTAGAAACAGATTCAGGCCTGGGATGACAAATTGGACAATATGACACACAACCCCTCTCCCCCATACCCAAAGTATCCAGACTAATCCATCAATCTACATTTATTGACCAAAATAATGTTACCCCAAGAGTTGAATCTGCCCAGTGAACTAGTGGATACAGTCATTAATAGCCATGTATAAATATGGACTAGTGGTACACACTTGTAGGCCCAGACCCCCTACTACTTATAGTGACAAAATAATAATATTCTACAAATAATACTTAATAATGTTACCTGTGCACTTCAGTCATGAAGGGAACAAATTACTTGGTTATGGGGAAAAAAAGGAATTAGGAAAATGTGTTTGTAACAGGAAGAACGCCCTCATCAAAACTTAAGTGTCATGTAATTATTATTTGATACAGCTTTTACAATTTAAAAAAGAAACGAAATCCCAGAATATCTGTTAAAAAGCTAACTATCTAGTGACCAGATCTATCAGGCTGAAAGAAAAAATATTTTATGAAAATGTATATACATACTGTGTGATGCAAAAACCAGCACACAATGTAACAAGAAATGTGTGCGGAATTGATCACTTTTTTTATTTGTTAAATATTGATACAAAGGATGCAGAACATAGTCCTGCAGCTAAAGGTGTTTCTGATTCCCTCAGGAACTGGTTTCCTTAAGCTCCCCCTGACTATTAATATATAAGCACAAAAAAGACTGATGCAAATATTTTTGTTTTGTTTTGTTTTGTTTTTTAATCCATGTAAACGTGTGTTGTATTCTTGAAACACTCTTTAAACATCTTGAAGGGGAAACGAGCAGAAAATAGGGAAGAATAAAGGACCTTCAAAAACAGGAATAATCCTAAAGGTTGACAGGAAATCAAATCATTACTTTAATGTTAATTTTGGCATCAAATGCTTTGGTCACACAATACTGACTCTGTGATCCTGGATGCTTAGCACTAAACACCCAGTTATGAAAGGTAGGCGTGTTGTAGTTTTTCCTTTTAAGTTCCAACAAACAGTTCACCATCTCTCCAGGCAAAGAGGAGAGAGAGAGAAAAAGAGGTGGCTTGCTTTTTTTTTTTTTTTTTTTAATAATATGGATTAATCTAGAAGTCTACAGGAGCAAGAGGACTCTGAGAGGTGCCAGTTCACCCCTTCTGTGTACATGTTTTGCAACAAAGTTGGTGAAGTACTTTCCGTTGACACAGATTGTTCTTTTTCACTAACGTACAGAATCCTCCCTCGGCCCAAGATTCTTCCGTTGCTTCCAGAGGTCAGCGGTAAAAGGAGGGGGGAAGTTGAAGATTTGAAGAGCATGGTGTGCAATGGAGGAAGGTTTAATTGGTCAGACAGGTAGATTTGATGGAAGAGATCATTCAGTAGCAGGTAACAGGGAGGAAATTTGGTCCATCAAAAGGAATTTCAGTCAACAGCATTTTTTTTTTTTTTTCAAGAGGAAATATTGGGTGGTCCAACAGGAAGTGATTGGTATCCATTTGTAAAAAGGAAAAAAAAAAGATTGGAAAGAGAATAATTAGAAAACAGTGATAAAAACAGAAAAGGAATTTTTTTCTGAGTCATCGTGAATCAAAAGGATACAACAGTCAAATCACAGGAAAAGAATCAAATATTCCAAACAAAATCAAAGTCTATGGTATAAACCTGACAAGTGACCTTGCAATGCTCAACTGTCAGCCAGTGAACTAAGGCCCTCCTCTCTTTTACAAATTATAAACAACATTCCTTTACTGCCCTTTATCTTCCCAAATGTTATAATGAAAATAGACTAGACCTACCCGATGTTGAACACCTTAAATCCCTGTTGATTTTTATGGGAGGAGGTTGCTCAGATCCTCCTCTGAGTTCCCAGCTCCTTGCAGGATTGAGTCATGTGGCAGTAAAAGATGAATTCATGTTACTTCTATGGATGTTAGTCTTATGTCATCTTGTATGTTCAGCCACAGACATAAATTTTATTTACACAAGTGTACAGAGGGAAGCACTTACAGTTTATATAGTGTTTTTCACAAAAAGGCTGAAAGTGTGAAACTGTCACAGAAAGTGAGAGGATGCTATAATCATATTCACACAGATGAGTGCTTCTACTGTAAATTTGCTTTGCCTGAGCGCCTTTTAGGTTGGCATTAGCAGTGATCCATGGAAATTGCCCTCAGTGACACCTATATGTTCAAACTCACTAGAGTCATTGAGGTTGTTGAGGTTGTATGGGTGTAAATGAGGACAAATTTTAGTTCAAGACACTCAAGACCCAAATGGTATAGCAAACCCTGGTACTGAAATACATTGCTGATAACAGAGGTTACTGTGTTTGCACCTTTAATTTGGTTTTCACTGCTTTTATCCAAGTCCTTCTGGAATAATTAGGACCTTGTGACATTTTTCCTGACATCTGTGGTAATGGACACTTAGTTTGTTGGTACATTTTGACTGATTTTCTTAAGCATCTGTAACAGTCATGACTCTAGACTGGACAGCCTGTTCTGGAAGAGCAAGGAGGTAACAAGAACTGTGAATGTGCACAAGTGCTGTTGGCTGAATCCTTCTCTGTCTCACTGAATAGCAAAACATATTAGCTTTGGTGTGAGCTAGACTGGCCATTGAGTTACCATTAGCTTTTACTATATTTGGCTTGCCAGCTATCTGTTCCACTATATGTAACACCTGGCTTCTGTTCTGGTGTTGTCCCCAAAGGACAGTGAGTTCGTGCCCGGTGCGCTTGTGCCAATAAACACACAGGGGTGAAGGATCCAACTTAATCTTTATTTCTGCGCAGAAAGTGGTGCTTGGCAATCGTTCGCAAAGCAAGCACCCACATCCCAGTGGGCGTCTGCCTTATATAGCTACGTAACAGGTTAAACTTGTTGATGTGATGAAATGTGTAGAAAGCCCAGCAAGTAACCCCCCTTCCAGCTCCCCCCCAAGTAACCCCCCTTCCAGCTCCGGAACTTTGTTGATACAGCTTTTCCTCTAGCGAGGCCAGCAATTAAACAACTAAGCAACAAGCGATCTCCCCCAGCCTAAACAACCTACTCTATGCCCTTGGTTAGATAAAATACTTTTTTCAAAACATACAAAGCTGTTCCTGAAGTAGAAAATGCATAGTAAAAGTTTAGGGGATCTCGGCTGGACATGGCTTCCAGCCCTACCTCTGTCCCTAGGGGTTTAGCCAGGTGCCCCTGAAACAAGGGGTGCTTATCACTGGAATGATGTTACTTGTTGAATTTTGATTACACCTACAATTAACTTAGATCATAAGTTTTTCATGGCAAGGACCACACTCTCTTTATCTCTGCATATACCTATGAGACCTTAAATAATTAATAATAAAACTGAAAAAATATGTTAAGAATAATCATGTGTATCAAATCAACAATGACCTGAGAGAATGTCTAAGATGGTAAGATCTTTTCAAAATGATCTCTACTTTCCCCTTGCCATCCTTTCACATTATTCAACTAATGTTAAGAAAGCTTTTCTTAATGTTTCTGTTGATAGTGCATGAAGATATTTACATTAAAGCAATTCTAAAGCAACAACCATTACAAAATAGGTAGATATAGCAGGCTAAAACTGAGATAAAGGAAGGGTTGCATAAAACAAAATGAATTCAAGTTGTGTTAGCATGAAATAGTATTAGTTTAGGAGATCAAATATATGTTGAAAAAAACACAACAAAAATACATGGAAGTTACAAAGTTAATTCTGGTGCCAAGAAATTGAGTGTCTTTTTTGAGAAGAATTATAATACTCACCGTCCTTACAGACTGTTCCAGCTACACAGACACCTGCATCTAAGATATAGCCACTTGGACAACTTGTACAGTTTTTGTCTCCTTGCCCATTGCAATCCAAACAGCTGGCATCACATCTTAAAGAAAAGGCTAGAAATTAACATCATGGCCATTTAACCAATGACAAGACTTTCCATTCTATTGTCTCATAGCATCTTGCATATTTTTCATGTTTTCTCGTGGAGTAACTATAAGCTTCTGAACTTTTGAATCTATGTACCACAGGTAGAATTCAGCAAAGCTTAACAATATATTATGCATCCATATACTGGATAAAAATGCATAGGGAAATGGACAAACATATAGCACTTCATAGGAGACTGGTCTCAAGTTGCAGCAAGGGAAGTTTAGGTTATATATTAGGAAAAACTTTCTCACTAGGTGGGTAGTAAAACACTAGAACAGGTTTTACCCAGAGAAGTTGTGGATTCTCCATCCTTGGAGATTTTTAAGACCTGGTTTGATAAAGCCTTGGCTGGGATGATTTAGCTGGGGATTGTCCTGCTTTGAGCAGGGAGTCAGACTAGATGATCTGAGGTCCCTTCCAAACTTAGCTAGCTTTGTCCACCAAGTATCTGCAAATCTATAGTGGTATTTATAGATCAATTGTGGTTGTACAGTATTCTAATGTGATCGCTTCTCAACCTCTTGTGGGCTAAGATCATTGTGTAGCCAATGAACTAAATGATCCTTGTAAGTGGCCATTGAATTCTTTGTAAAAGCTTAATATTACTTTGGACAGTCCCTCTGTAACCTATTTTTAGGTCTAACTTCAAATTTTGAAATAACATCTTAATTTCTTTTAAAAAGCAGAAGAAACTGAAACAGACCTAAAAAAAATCCTAGTATAAGTATTATATTCACAATAAAAATTCTAACCTTCTTCCCTAATTTTGCTTATCAGACTGTTTTCTTGTTTATCAGAATCCTTTCTTATTTTAAAGTTCTTGAACTGTATAATTATTTACTCCCACTTACACAGAATGGCACTAAGTACTTAGACGCTTGCTTAAAAAACACTAAAATATAATAAAGTCTTTGAAGAACATAGCTTACTTTTTGCAGTTTTTGAATATATCTTCCAGAGAATGATCAAGGTAATAACCAGTACTACAGCTTTGCACACATCTCCCATCCTCCAGAAAATAACCATCAGTGCAGTTTATACAAGCATCTATTCCAGCACCTTTAAAAGCCAAGATAAAATACATTGGAACACATTTGGCACATTCTCAGTTATAGGCTAACACCAGGCAGACACCATTTCTAAGTGGGTTGAGGTATCGGCTTATTGGAAATTATGTGCCTTACACCTAACTCTATTGTCTTGCTTCCAACAAGGAAGAAAAAACCCTAGGTCCTTACACAAATTATGATGAATTCTATTATAAGCAAAGAAAGCTAGTGAAAATTAATATAAAAGGCTCATCTTTTTATGCCAGCTAGAAGAAGCCTACCTTACTCTCAGCTATACTAAGGAAATTTCATGGCTTTTGATTTTCATTTACAAGGCACTTATCATTCTGTATTTGGACATATGATGTAATAAAATGAAATTGAATGTAAGGGAACAAAATGCTGAAGTCAAAAGTCAGTGAGGTACCTGCACATGTGGCGCAGGAACGGTGACAAGGTTCACATTCCCTGCCACTGTGAAACTTTCCATCTTCACAGCGGATTGCACATCTGGATCCATGTAAACTAGTGAAAAAGATGAAAAAGAAAAGAAAAGGGCTATTAAACACTCTCCAACTGACAGCAAGGACAGTGGTCAACTCTAAACCTATTATGGTTGTGGGGAATTTTTAAAATTAATTTTGGGTTAATAAAAGGACTGCAATAACAGTACCTTCTGGTCATTTTATACAGCTTTCTTCCCCTGGCCCTTCCACCTTTCAAAGTTCATTATGAACTTAAATGCAACAAATATTTTTACATCTATGGAGGACTGGAATAACTGTTTATCGGCTTATAACACTCGTTTGATAGGACAAAAAGCAAAGAAGAATGCCACTTTTAAGTGATTAGAATTTGTTTTGGGGCTAAAATCACTGGAGCAATATATATTCAATAGAATTTGATACTAAGGCTTTATGCTTCTCTTGGAAATCATAAAGTCCAGTGCTGCCCCCTCATAGCATGTTACATAATTGGCAAAGCATAAATTCAGAGTAACGAAAATCACTACTTCGCCTTGTTGCAGCAGGATTTTCCTTCGAGATTTTTCATCCCACTACCAGCTCTGTATTATCCAGGGGATTAGTCAGAATTGCAGCCTGAGGTAATGTGCCTACAGGCAGTATTGAGGGATAGTATAGCAGCAAGTACCAAAGGAAAAAGCAGAACCATAATGAATCCCATTTCCATGACCCTCTATAAGCACCTGTTTATGCTTTAAATGCACCACAAGAAGACTGTTCTAAGCCCATTATTAGCTAGGCATCTTTGACACTTGCTCTCTTCCACAGAATCTAAGCTTTCATCTAACTTCATTACATTTCTAAAAATGCTTTGCAATTCTGAAGCACTTTCTAGCCCAGGATAACAGAGATGGTTGTCTGTCATTCTCATTTTACAGATTGAGTTCAATGGCCTTTGAACCTCTGCAAATGATACTGTAGGTACTTGCATTTGAAATTTGTTGCTGAAGTAACTCATCCAAAAATTATAACACCTAGCTTTTATCAAAGTGTGTGTGTGGTTTGTTTTTTTTTAATCCATTGAGTTCAAAGTGCTTTGCAAAATAAGTCAGTATATCATTATGCCCTTTTCACAGGCGAGTAGCCTCTGAGACACAAAGAGGCTGAAATGACTTATTCTAAGATCACTGAATAACAGAGGCTAATAACAGAAATATAACCCTTGTCTCTCAAGCCCCCAGCCAGTGCTCTAGTCACTAGGTCACTCTGCCAAGAAACATGTCTGGAGCACTGAGGTCTGAATCTCCTGAGCATACACTCTGCTTTCACACTCATAGACCATGTTCCTCCTCAATGTAAATTATATTCTTCAACTGTTAACTTCATCTTCCAGAAAGTCGTCATTTTTGGCCAAATAATAATTTCAGAACAAACACGCAACCTCCCTTTCATGCCAAAGAGTTCTTCAATTCAAAGTGTGGTCAGAACTACCTCCCTAGAGACTGGAAATTTAAAATCCCTGTAAAGGATCCAGTGCTAAGAAGAGAGGCGCACTTTGAGCTTCCAAAAAAGTCAATGGGTATTTGAAGGCACTCAGCTTCTGCCAGGATTTAACCCCATAGTTGTCTAAATAAAATATCTCGACCCAAATGAAATTTGGAAGGGTCCAGAGTTAGAAGATTCTGCTGAATGATTATGCGGAATATTACTATTTGGATTGGCTATTGTAAGAAAAATAGGCAACTGTAGTCCAGGTACTCTTTCAAAAAAATCTGCCTTGAGACATTCTATTCTAGGATTGGCTTCACCCGATCCTTGAAAGAGAATTGCCTGTCCCACTGCCTACAACAGAATGAGATTTGGCTTCTTTCCACCTCTGGAGTTTTTCCTATGAGATTCTTATTCTCTCCTAACAAAGAATCAACACTGGCCTTTCTTTCAATGGTGCCAAAGCTGCTGTATACATTTCTTGGCAGGGATTTCAAGCCAGCTCATGAGGCCTATTTTTTTTTTTTTAAATCTCCATGAAAGCTGTTAGATAGTGTCTTCTGCTATGCTGTGTGCCATAACTAGAATGAACTTTGGGGTTTGTGAACTTGATTTTTGCCTGAGTTCACCAGCTTGTACTTTTTGGAAACCCTGGTACTGTACCAATTTGATCAGGCATACATGTTGTTATTAAGCTGGTCAAAAACTGTAAAAGGCAGTACTTAAAATAAAAAAATAAAAAAAAAATCCTTGAAATGGTGATAACATTTTCATGTTTCCCCCCCCAATAATTTTCCCAGGGGCTGATATAAGAGAATGCAGTTATACAAACGACTAATACTATACTACTTCCAAGGTGCTTTCTATCAGAGGAACTCAGCATGTTCTACAAGCATTAATTTACAGTTAATTACCACCTAATTTTACAGAGGGTTTAAATGATCCAAGGACCTGACTTGATCTTGTGCCTTTCTTTTAGATCTTTTAAATCTCCATCTTAGGCAGGGCCATTTTTAATGAGTATAAAAACACATTATTGGAGCAATGAAGGTGGCTGAAAAAATGCAGTGCATACACAAGAAGCTAGGAGTGCAGAAGAGACCATGCTGCTGACAGTCAAGGAAATGAACACCACCACAAAGTTTTTCCTAAATGAAAAAAATGGCTTCTTTTTTGACATGAGGTACACATTCAGTGGCAAAACAATCACAGACAATCCTTGCCCTGAAAAAGCCACAGATCTAGAATTCTGACTTCACATATTTTTGTGGAGTAGATGCAGAGTACAATCCCTTACAAACTCGGTAAGATTTTTGACCTTCTCTGTTTGGATCAAAAGGTCACTCATTCAGAAAGCAGCTTGAAATGCGTGCTACTCCTTTATGGATTTTACCTATCAGTTTCAGGAATGATTAAGTCCCCCTACCAGGAAAAAATATCCACTGCTGTTTTAATATATGTGTGCACTGTATCGTAATGGAACTGAGCCTGAGGCACTTAAGATAAGTGAATGATTGGATGTCTGAAGAGACACAATAAAGATAAGAAAATAGTTTCTAACTATCACAGAAATGAATCAGAAGGATTAGTATGATTCACCAATTCTACTTTTAAAATAATCCTTGACTGTCACACTGGAGGTCAAAAAAGTGAAGAACCTAGCTTTCATATGGCTACAGCTTTCATTTTACCTGCACTAAATGAGTTTTGTTTTTTTTTAATCCACTGTCATACAGCATGCCATATAGTGGCACAAAAATATTATATTACAACATAAACAGCAATGGAACACATAAATGGAGGTCCAGTCAAGGTTAAATAGTAATGTTATGTAACTATCTTTGATGCATGTCCATAGACTGAAAAGCCTCTTCAGCTATTGTTTTCAATGAAATCAATCATTTCCTTACCTTAGGCCATGTCTGCATTCTGTGCAGGTTTGGAATTCAACACATGTCTTGCAGTTCTCACTGCATTTTCGGCAAACAATCCTATCTACAAAGGGAAAAAAAAATAGAAAAGCAGCTCAGAAAGCCCTGGTCAATTATGTTTAATAAAATTATATGGATATGTTCCAATCTTTATTGCTTTTATTTCTTGACATTAGCAATGGGAGTAGAAAACGGGAATAAAATTAAATAGTGAAAGTGCTGCTTATATATTAATCTTCCCCATCAAGCACCAAGTGATTTGAGTTGCTTCTAAATACTTAAAATGATTTCCTCTTCCTTTGAGACTCTGAAAAAACTCTTTCAGTAACACGCTTATTTAAATTAATTGTTTTTATTACCAACTTACATAAATCTTTTCATATAAATGGAAAAAAAATCTAAATCAACTCCAAACAAGTTATTAATCTTTTAAACATAGAATCATCAAAAAATGGGGCTGGGAAGGAACTCAGAAGATTATCTAGTCCTTAAAGAGGAGTAATATGCCTGCATAAACCACCCCAGTCAAATGTTTATCTAACCCGCACTACAAATTTTGTAATAATGGAGACTCCACAGTCTCTGTAAGCAATCTGCTCCTGTGCTTACTCACCCTCATAGTTAGCAAATTCTTCCTAATATCCAACCTAAGTCTGTCTTTTTGTTACGTAATAACTGTGTTTTAGTTCTTATAAGCAAACAGCCTTTCCTGACTGACTAACCCTCAGACATGAAGACTGTAACTTTCTGTTCTTACCTAACTCAAGTCACACACTACTTTGCAAATCACTTTTCCTTCTCCGAGGGTCCCTGCACTCCAGTTGACAGCCCTGAAGAGGCCATATTTTGCTTCCCACTCATACCTCCTACCCACTGAGATTCTGTATCGTGTATCTATCCAACAAATGAGAATCCCTTCAACCTTCAGTTCTCACCTATCCTGCCCCTTGATCAATTAGAGGAGTTGATGGGAATAATAATTCATAGTTCTTATATTATGTAAATGGAAGAAAGGAAGCCAGTGCCTGTTTCTACTATGTGAATGAGCATACTTTTTCACAGTACCGAAAGCTAAGAGAACTGGTTTCCAATTAAGCTCTTAGCCACACAAATATTTTCCAGCACGTGTCTAAGTCCCACTGACGAAAATAAGATTTAGGTACATGTTTAAAGCTACATATGTGTTTAAGAATTGCCTCATCTTGGAATTAAATTTGGGTGACCCACCTGGTAATCCAGAGGTGGAAATCTGGATCTCCCACATGGCAGTGTCTGTTATGGTTTTTCGGTAATTGCTTTATGGGAGATAGTTAAAGTCTATCAAAAAAAAGTTTCAATCGCCTTATAAATTAATCTTGCCGTTTGCTGAATGGATGAGTCAGTGGGGAAAGACGAAGGGAGAACCTCTGCTTTTTTAAAACACTAATGCAGTACCAAAACAGGATGCTTTTCTAGTTGCCTTATATTCACTAGTTTACTATGGTACCAGAAGCAAGAAGGCCATGGGTGACATTTGGGGTGGGGGGAACTGTATAACATACTGGGGGGAAGATGCATATTACTTCTTTTTGGGACTGCAGTAAAATGCTGTTCTCCATATGTTCCCTTACACACCTAGCTGCCCTGAGCTACACCACTCTGTTAGCAAGACAGCTTTACTCTTGTGGTGTGGCTAGTGTGTGATCTGTTGTCTCTACTCCCAGCTACGAAGAGAAAAGGTGGGATTTTCCCCTGTAGCATTAAGCATGATTTTCAAAAGCTAATAATCAAACCAGATTAGTTTTGGGGCAGATACCTGATGCCCTAACAATTTTATATAAAGGAGTTATATTTAGAACTGAGATAAGGGTATCAACATATATTTCTCCTTTTTAAAACCATCTTCCTTCAATTCCAGAACCACCCAAACCAAATTCTGTAGCTCAAAGCTGTAAGCAGTAGAGAATACTAACTCTTATCCAGGTAAAACCCATCTGGGCAGTTGGTAATGCAGGTATTGGTTTCTTCATTCAAGTAGTAGCCAGATTTACAGGTCACGCACTGATCACTATGGCTTCCAATACAGGTTTCGCAATTGGGTGAGCACTTTTTGCAGCGTTTTTTGTCTGCAGTGTAGTGACCGGGTGGGCAGTTTGGAACACAGATCCTACATCATGCAGGGAAGAGAAGGCAGTCAGTGGCAACATAAAACAGGTATCCTCTAGGCCCACTAAGGACCCACTCAGTGTCACTTCTCTATTTTATCCAAGGATTTATACAAAGGTAATCCTCACAGACATTGCAGCCAACAATTTTTCCCAGCATCTATTGGGTCATTGTACTCATCAGGTAATCACAACTCTACATCTCATCCTGATGTTCTACAAGCTGTCCTATTAGAATACTTGGGTTTTTTTAAAATAAATATGCAGGTAATAGATAAGTGATCAGGGAAAGGTATTTGAAGGATGCATATTAAATTCTTAGTAGAAATTTAACTCTGATGCAAACTAGCAAATAGATTGACAGCAAGGGAGAGGATTTATGGCTTGTAGTAAGGGAAAACAAGAGTGATGTTAGGGCAGACAGAAAGCAAAGTTTTTAAAGATTGTATTTTTCTGTCTTACCGTGTATTGTTTTTAGATTTGTAGTAGTAGTGCAGACAGTCAGTACAGTGGTCCGGTCCTGGCCCATCACACCCTACTTTACTACATTCTGCATTGCATGGTCCTTTAATAAACCCCAAAATCAAAATGAAAAAAATTAACACATCTGCTACTCAAAGCCTTTTAATACAGATTATTATAATGCAGAGTATAATTAACCTAGTTCCCAACGTGCACTAAGATCCAGATCCACAAATGTATTTAGGGACTTAACTAGCACAGATATCACTGGGAGTTAAACATCTTAAATACATCTTAAAATCATCTTAAATGTAGTTGGGTCTCAGTGACCAGCTACAATGATTTAATAATCACATGGATTAAGCACAGTTCTGTAGTAGCTTCTATTGGGAACTATTATTAGATTCAAACAGATGCCTTAATAACAAAAAAATCATTTGCATTTTTACTCTCACACTCAAAAACCACTAGATCCTTTAAAAAAGACTAACAATATCATAGGTCATCGTGTACCAAATAAATATGGTTATGAGAACAAATAATCCCTGGCAGCCCATGAAATGTATAATATTTTAATATAAATAAAAGAATTAGGGTCTTGTCATTCACAATATATGAAAACAGATAAATTCAAATAGTTCTAATATTTAAGATTTCCAAAGTAATTCTGACTTCACATCCCTGATTAAGTTTTCTTGTTGGAAAGTATGTGGATGTTAGTTGTGAAAGAACCCTATTCTCGCCGCCTCTTTTTTTGGGTTTTTGTTTTCCTTTTTCCTTTCTCTTTGTCCTTTCACCTGTCTGATACCTAGCTGCCCCACGTTAAGGTGTATGTGACTGACTGCAGGTATGAGGGAGGGAATTTATCTTCCTTTATGGTTTGAGCTCTGAGCTCATGACCTGGGGGCAGGGCCTTGAGTCCCGGTCTAGGTGTGATGCTTTTCAAATTGGTTGGTTGATATAAAACAATACCTGGCCTTGATTGGAGCTAGCAGGTGAGGTCAGAAGGGCTATTTAAGAGGTCCCCTCCAGGAAGAGGAGAGGACATTTTCTAAGACACATGGCGCAGCATATGCCTCTGAAGCCCTCTCTCATACTCAGTATCTGGAAGTGAGTAAATTACCAGAAACTTAACTAGAAATGTAGTTTACAGTAACCTAGAAGTGTCTTAAATGGCTATCAGGATGGTTCTGTTTGCTCTGGGCTATTTTGTTGATACTTCTCTGACTTGTACCTCTCCCCAAGCCTACACTCTCTCTACCCAATAAAGTTATCTGTTAGCAAGCTTTGCGGTACATGCGGGAGAGGGTTTGGGCATGCCCTTTTTGCTCTCTTGGCTCACCTGACTAAAGGAGGCTACTTTTATGCTTCAGGCTAATAGAAGCACTCCAAGATCCCATGGTCTACAGGGCCTGTGTATCCCAGGTGGCACAGGGCCCAGACAGAAACCTGAGTCCAAGTGGTGCCAGTTATACCCCAGGCTTGCAGATGTGTTCCAGGAAGGGGGTCAGCCAGAAGTTGGTGCCCCCGGGGAGGCATCCGAAGCTTGATTGTTGGTGGGGCACAGTGAGGTCAGTGGCTCAGTGTAGGAATGCCCCCTACTGGCCTGCCACATTAGTGATGTTCGTTGTCTTATGGTACACTCTTTTAGTGACTTTAGGAGAGAATGCAGGGGCATGGCACCTGGAATGGTGCATTTACATGTTCACTGGTGCACCTACACATTCATTAATGCACTTTTGTTAATGCACATTAAATTTAGTCACCTAGGGTGAAGTACTAAACAAACGTGGATTAGGCTGCCCTACTGCGCAGTAGGAAAAGTGCATGCTTTTTTAGTGAGACTTAATGTACAGTAGCCTATTTTTACTGTGCATTAGCATATTAGCACAGTTGTTGACATGACACTTTAATGCACAGTAAAATAAGCTCCTGCATGCACATTAGAGCATACATGTAGATGTGCCCACTGAAAACTAGAGGTGATAACAAGAGATGGGATTTTCTAGTGGTTTTGTAGGCTAGAGGGCAGAAGTCAATTGGGCTGTAAGTTCCACGTGAGAATTATGGACCAGATTTCAGTATGCATTCTCTACATATCGGTAGCTGAAATGGGAAAACATTTCTCTTCATATCTTCAGGCCGCACATTGTGTTTATCTAAGTGTTTTCTAAATTTGTATGTGCACAATAGGAAACCAGAGTTTGTGGTCCCCATTGGAAAAGTGTATGTGACACAGTGATTTGGTGTTTATAATTACTTTCAGCAGAATTGGTTAGCAGCTGAAATCTTATTATTAAATAAAATGTTCAATACCCATCACCCAAAAATGGTAGCCCTAGGCCATGCTGGAGCTTGAAGGAAAAACAGAACTGTGAAAAAAGTTCCAGTCTTTTCTGATGCCTCCTAGGGCAGTTCAGTCTTTCAAAACAGAGAGAAGTTCAAGAGTGAAGGTTGCAAAAGTTTTCAGTATAAAGTAATTGTTCTGGGGCGGGCACCCTGCCTTTATTCAGGATGACACGGACAATAGAATTATCCAGTCTTTTTAATGTGTGTTCAGATTAACTGTCTTCAGAATTAATTAATGTTATTTATATGCTGCTCTTCCCAACAAAGGCTTAGGGCAACTGAGAGCAGAACAACTGAAAAGGGCAACTAGGGGCGTTTGTATGCGCAAGATTTTTTGCCCTTTCTTGTACTGCAACAGCATGCCTGTTTTCATGGGCAGGTTTTCTGGACACTTTAAAAGTCTTTGTAGTGCATTAAAGTAAAACTCCTCAGATGTAGTTTAGTTTGGCTTGCCGCGAATTAAAGCATAGCATCCACAGATTCGTTGTGTGCAAACACAAAGGCACTCAAAGATATGTAATAAGCCTCTTTGTCCACCAGATGTTGCTATGACTTTTTTGTAGTTCACCCCCTTGAATTGCTTCCGGTTTTGAGTTACATCAGCTTTTTTGCCAGCCCCCTGCTTCCAAAGCTGTGTGACAGGGCACAGGCATGGGGTGGGGGGCCTTGGGCCAGGGGGGCAGTGCTGGACCGTTCTGGTCTCCTGCAGCACCAGCCGGGGGCTGGGCTTAATTTGTTCGAAAACCTAGTGTGTGCAAATACTGATGCGACGCTTCAAAATAAACAAGTTTTAAATTTATAAACCTATTTAATTTAATGAGGATTAAAACCTGTGGTGTATACAGGTACCCTAGTACACCAATTGAGAGAGAGAGCCATTAAACAACATCTCAGCTTAACTTTGTTTGCTAAATACTTGCCCAGAAGCTTGCAGTGTTCCTGAAAAATGACCAGGCTCAGACTGGCAAGCCTCAAGAAGAAAGGTGTTCTAGGTCTCAGAAGCAACTGCTGAGGATAGCTTCCTAATATGTTTTCACCAAGTGGACTTGACATAATTATGTTACTTGTAGGAGGTTGCGCTCAGCTAACCTTAGGGATTTTGATGGGGTGAAAAGGAGAAGGTGATCCCTTGGGTATGTAGGGCCCAGGCCATTTATGGCCTGATAAGACAAAACCAGCACCTTGAATTGCACCCAGAAAGCTACTGGGAACCAGTGGAGACAACAGAGGATCTAGGCATTGTGGAAATTGGTATTATTATACCTAAACAGGAGAGTCACTCATTTGGTGCCATCTAGCAGTGTCTGCATTTGACTGATGCTTAAAAGAATAGTTCTAGTAAGGCTTAATGAAGACAATGGGAAATTTGTCACAGAACTCAAATGAAGGATATTGTTTTAGAGGAGAGTAAGACTCTTCACCATTCTGTACAGCTCCTCACATATGCTGCTGCATAATCCTTACATTTTCTATAAATATATCACAGCAGGATTTTTCATCATGTATGTTGCTCACCATTAATACAGGGTATATACATGCCACACTTAAAAAAATAAAAATTATATGTGAGCAATGAAATAATGATTAATTTAAAAAAATAAATCACATTACTTGTGTCTTAATGAAACAAAGTTATCTCTAAATATTCACAATGTCTATTCTCCCTGGTAAAATGCGATGGGGTGAATTTTGCTAAAATAGATACTATAGCATCATGCTTTGGCCTTCCAGTAAAAAATAATTTGCTTGCATTTTATTATGAAGCTTACACAGTCATTATGAGCAGCCACTACTTCAATTTTAACCTAATAAATAAAAATAACTTATAAATAAAAATAAAAGCTTTCTTTTTACATAGGAGAAAATGTTTGAAAATTGATCATATTGATGGTGGAAGATGTTCGTTTTTATTAAGCCAGTTTAGTTATTGCATTTCTTGCAGTATTCATCAGAAGCTAGGTCTTTACCAAAGCAGAAAGACAGCACAGTCTTTCCTTTCAGGATCCTACAGTGCCTATACACATGACAATTTTCTCATTTTGAAGCCATCTAAAGCTGTCACTTAATACACATGGGCAACTTTAGAATGCTTTTAAAATAGCGGAAGTAGCCTTAATTAAACGTCACCATATGTGTTTTAAATGCAAGTCAAACTGCTATATTGCATCTCAGTCACCTAGTTCATCTTTATTGCATAAGTATTTAACTGGGGCTTTTCAAAGTGATAACTACTAATTGTTGCCACCAGGTATAGCTAGTTCTGTAGCCTCAGACTGCATTGTGCAGCATCCAGCACCGCCTGCCACCTACTTTACAGAACTACAGCAAGACGCAAAACTCATACCAAGAAGTGGAATGTCTATTAAGGAGCTGTACCTAAAGCACTTTAAGTAAAGTACAGAAATTACAAAAACCTTTGTAAATGCCTGCCTTACACATATATAGGCACCCCTACTCTTCAATTAAGACAAACACATAGAGGCAGAGTGTAGGTAAGTGGGGATTATTAAACAAGTCACATAGTAGCTGGTTGGTGACTGTCCAGGTATTGATGATACAAAGTTTAATGATTAAAGGGCTTTATACACCCAGAGTCCCAAATCCACTTTCAGTTGTATCATACATGTAGTACAGGAGGTGAATGATTTCTCAGACTGTAGTCTAGCTTACCTGAATAATCATCGGTCCCATAATCTTCTGTAGGGTCTTCAATTGGACTGGAGCGCACCCGTTCTACTTTTGGAAAATCATTTCTTGGAGAATAAGGTTGGATGGATGTCCCATAAAGTACTAAGGACCACTCTTTCAATTTGCCTAAGAAGTCAAACATAGAAAGAAAAGCAGGGCTTCAGAAAGCATTCCTATTTTGTTACTCTCAGAATAAATATGGATGATTTTTGTGCAGGATTTGGAGGTTAACATTGTGTTCTCTCCCTAAAAATTAAAATCTGCTCACCTTTCTTCAATCAATTTTTTCACATACAGGTTTTATAACATGTCATCCTCTCCCAATTCTAATAAAAGCTTGCATAATTCCAACATTCCTGCCTGAACAGAAATATCATAATATTATAAGTTTTGATAAATGGTGTAATCTTGGTTCTGAGATTTGACTCGCATGAGTTTTTCAGTGCAAAAGGACTTCAGCACAGATTTGTCTTTTCTTCAGAACATTAGTTAATTGGATTTACTATTTTTTATTCTAAAATCGTTAATTAACTTATTGCCACCTCAATGGAATTCCAGATTGAGTATTGTGGAAAATCAATAATTTAATGGGGACCTATTAAAGTACACTACGGGTGCATCTACACGTTCATTAGTGCACCTTAAATACTGCGCATTTTGTTTAGTACTTCCTTAATAAAGCACTACCTAAATGCACAGTACCTAAACTTACTGCACAGTAGCACCAGTGCATGGTTATTTAGTGACACGTGCTGCACATTAGCCTAATAACACGGTGCAGTAGTCTATTAGCACGGTTTTTGCCATGACACACTACTTACTGCACAGTGTTATTAGGCCATGTGCAGTAAGCATTTTGTGCAGATGTACCCTGAGGAAAGAAAAACTTGAACACACCAAATTATCTGCAGCAGAAGTAGTATGTTGTCCTCTAATAACAGTAAGGTCACTTAATGTCTCCACTTATTTAGCAATCATCATTGTATTGTCTCGACACTTCAAATATTTAGCTTCAGAGCACATCTGTGAAAAAGGGAAGCATTATCTGCACTTTGCAGATAGGGAGTTGAGGTGAGTAAATGACTTGCTTCACATTCTGCATGACCTTTAACAAGTAAATCCAGATGTCTGAAGCCCCAGTCAAGACAGCCACTGTCTTTCCTTCTGTGGTGCACACTTATCTGGTTGACTCCCAAGGCTCTGTGACCCTGCACCCACCTCTACATGGGTTCAGCCAGGACACAGGTGGCTGGGCCTGTGGATAGGTCCTCGGGGGCAAGTAGGAGGTCAGCAGGATGGGGCTACAGGTTACCAGAGAACTGAGTTGGGGTCTGGGTCAGAAGAGTGGAGAGCATACAGCAAAGTTCCAGGGCAGCCGAGATTGGAGATCCAAGAGATGTAGTCCAAGACACAAACTGAGGTCAGGAGCCGGAGGTCATAGAACCAGCACCAAGTTCCAGGGAGAATCAGAGATCAGGTCAAGGAAGCAGACTGAATCAGGATGCCAGGAAAACCACAGAAGGCAGATCCAACACCGAGTTTCAGGGAAGACCCAAGATTGGGGTTGGAAAAAGCCGAAGTCAGAAGAACCATGAAGAGCTGTAAATGTGAGGCTGTGTCAAGATGTGCCTGCAGCCTGAGGCTGCAGGTGTGCTTAAATGGGGTGAGTAGCATTTTCAGAAGCCAATCTGGTTGCAGAGAACTGGGTCAGTGATATTAGCCAGGGATCCGGGGCGGGTTTAGTAACTCAGATACTTGGCCCAGTCAGGCCTGCTTGATTGGAGTTCCTGACAGTACCCCACCCCCCTCATGGAGCCGTCTTCCAGGCAGCCTGGGATCTGTTTTTTCTGGGTACTTCCAATGCAAATCCTATACTGGTTAGGAGAGAGGGAGGGTGAATGTGGTTGTCTGGTTCCCAAGATCATTCTTCCATACCTCTTCAAGCTGATCAAGTAGTGGAGCTTGCCTTAGACAAATTTGGAGTCTAAAATCTGCTTTAGGATATATTCTTCATGATTTTCCACTATTACAGGTTGGAGAGGCAGGTTCAGGCAGTCAGGAAAGGGGTTCTTGATGAAAGGTTTGAAAAGGGATATGTGGAAAATGGGCTGTACTTTCAATATCTCTGACAGCTAGAGTTTGAATGCAACAGGGTTTCTTTGTTCCACCATCTTAAATGGGCCCAGATAGTGGTAATCCTGCTTGGCTGATAGGCTAGGGGTCTTGATATTCTTCAAATATCAGCCTATAAAAACTAGGCTGACCAACACCCCACCCCACTATTTTAGTTAGTAATAAGATCTTGATAGTTTTCAAATATCAGGACCTTGTTACCAACTAAAATAATGGGGTGGGCAGATGGCATTGGTCAGTCTAGTTTTTATACACAGTCCTGGCTGCATCAAGACAAGCCTTTAATTCTTACTGAACCTGTTGGAGAAGCAATACAAGATCATCTACTGTAAGGAACCATGGGAAGGTAGGCAGTGCTGGGTGGAACTGAAGTTGGAAACCATAGTTGGAGAAAAAGGGAGTCTGGCCTGTGGAAGTATGGACAGTGCTGTTCCACTAAAGGGAGCAAGGACACCCTATTATCCTCGTGAAAATTTAAATAACAGCTGGCCTGATCTGTGTGTTCTGTTTGACCATTAGTCTGAGAGCGATATGCAGATGAGTGGTGAGATTCCATGCCCAGGGCCTTACAGAACTCATGCCAGAAGTGTGAAATCAACGGGAGAGCCATGATTGGACAACACCTGAGACGGGCAGCTGTGCAGGTGAAATATATAGCTCAGAAATAGGTTGCCTGTTTTGCTGGCAGTGGGGACAGCCTGGGCAGAGATAAAATGAGCCATCTTAGTTGATGTGTGCACTAAGAGCATGATTGTAGAACAGTTCTCAAAATATGGGAAGTCCATAATGAAATCCACTGAAAGTAGGACCATGGTAGTGTGGGAGTGCATAATAGCTGGAAGAGACTACCTAGCCTGGTTTGAGGTTTCTTAGTTTAGGCACATGTAGTGAATGAGTAGATACACTGTTTAATGTCATGGCCCACTCAGGGCCACCAGAACTGCCAAGGGACTAAGAACTGGGTCTTGTTATGTCCATTGTCCTGCAGGAAGTGTCATGACAGAGCCATAATATTCTTGATCTTATGGAACCATCTGGGATGTACAGATGCTGTTAAAAAAAATAACTCCCCTGAGCCACTGAAACTTGGGTTGGGAAGGCCCCACTGGCTGGCACAACTCTTTAGCTAGGGGGTCACTTGTGAGGCCTGTTTGGATGGCTGAGAGAAAGCTTTGCAGAGTAGTTCCCTAAGTGTAGTTCTTAGGCTAGAGAATGGTGGAAGGTAGCAATGGGTCTAGTGCACAGGGTTCATCCTTACAGGATAGGCCATCAGCCTTCTTGTTCTTGGCTTCTGGGTGATACATGATTATGAAATTAAAACAGGAAAAGAAGAGGACCAGTGGACCAGTTGCAAATTCGGTTTCCAGCTTGCCTGGAGATATTCCAAATTCTTAAGGTCTGTTACTACCTGGATGGGGTGGTGATCCCCCTTCAGAAGATGCCACCATTCCTAGAAGGCTACCTTGATTGTGAGGAGTTCTCAGTCCCAAATGTCATAACTCCTTGTGGAGAGAGTCTGGGCCCAGGCATAAAAAGCTCAAGGGTGCAACTTGTTTGGGATATCTGAAGCCCAAGGCAGAGCAGCCCCTATGGCATAGTTTGACGAGTTGGCTTCCACTATAGATGTTTTCATGGGGTCCTGGTGCACCAGAAAGGGCAGAGAGATGAAATCCCTTTTCAGTGTCTCAGAGGTCATTTGGCCTTCTGAAGACCATTTAAACAGTACCCCTTTCTTAAGAAGGGTATTCAGTGGGGCTACTAGGTATGAAAATCCTCTGATAAAACATCTGTAAAAGCAAAGCCCATGAACCGTTGGATTCCTTTGTACTCATGTGGTGTGGCTCATTTAGTGATGACATTACTTTATGGGGGTCCATTGTTAGGCCCCTGGTGGAAATTATATAACTCAAGAATTCAACTGAGGTGCAATCAAACTCAAATTTCTTTAGCTTAACATATAGTGGACCTGGAATAGGTTGGTGCAAGCAACCTGGTATCTTTGGCCCTGCTTCCAGCTTGGGTACTGATCAGAGAAAGCCATCCCCTCTAAACAAGAGTACAAGTAGTAAGGTGAGGTGAAATGAGTTCCCTTAACCCCCACATGATGTCTGGGTTATGGAGTGATAACCAAGGATTTCCCTATATAACTGAAAAGTGAGGGGAATGGATAATGTCACAACCCAGTGATTTTGGTGCCTCGGCACGATGGAATTTTCCCGCCACATGAGAGCCTCTTGCAAAGCAAAGCGTTTTCCGTTGCAAACATGAGAGCCTCTTGCAAAGCAAAGCGTTTTCTGTTGCAAAAGAAACCCCTGGTGCAAGAGAGTTCCCGCCATTCGAATGCAAATTTGTGTCCCGTTATTGGCCAATTCTAAATTCTTCATACGTGGTGGCTAGTATTTGGCTTGCTAGCCGTTTAAAATTCCGTGCGACTTCCGCCCAAGTCGGAGAACTTTGAGCACGCTGCAGAGTGCTTCTGAAAGAGATCTGACTTGTGGCTGAGCTGATCGATAGACTGATCACCTATCGATTCTTCTCCCCGTCGCCGAGCGCAATCCCAGACGTACCCTTTCCCCGCCGGCTTAAATTGCGGACGGATTAACTGGCTTGGGCCCCGCTAGCTGGAACAACTCACATAGTTGTTCAGACGACCGGACCATCTGCGTCACAGCTACAAGCGGTGTAAGTAAACGTTTTTGCAACCATTAAACCTTGTCTGCCTCTCCATTCACC